AAACTAGATATCCACATGCAGAAGAATACAACTGGTCCTACACCATCTGTCAAAACAAACTCAGCATCTATTTAAGATTTAAATATAAGACCTAAAACTGCAAAGCTGCTCAAAGTAAACAGAGGGGAAAACACCGGTCTAGGCAACAATATTTTATATTTGACTCCAAAAGTGCAGGCAACAAAAGCAAGAATAGACAAACGGATTACACTGAAATGAAAAGCTTCTTCAGAACCAAAAAAAGAAACAATCAACAGAAAAGAAACAATCTGTGGATAAGCAGAAAACATTGTCAAGTAATGTATGTGATAAGGGGGTAATATGCAAAACTTATTAGAAACCCAAGAAACTCTATTGAAAGAAAACAGGTAATCTGATTTTTAATTAGGTAAGAAATTTGAATAAGTATTTCCCAGAGGGAGACATACAAACATGGCACGACTGCTCAGCTTGGAAAAGAAATTCTGTCATTTGCAAAAACACGGATGGAACTGGCTATGTGACATAAACCAGGTACGGAAAAGCAAGTGCTGCATGGGCTTACTTACTAGTGGAATCAAAGACAGCCTAACTCACGGACACAGAGGGAGATGAGGGGGGTCAGAGGCTGGGCTTGGAAGAAATGGGGAACAGTGGCCGAATACTACGAAGCCCCAATTTGACAGGAGAGATATGTGGGGATTTTTCACTTCAAATGTGTGTATTATACAGCGCTGTGAACACAGCAAACAACCATGTACAATTCAAAAGTACTGAGAGCAAAGGTCAAGTGCTCTCACCACAAAAGGTGATAAGTATCTGAGGTGATGGCTGTGTTCAGCATTGATTCAGTTATTCTACAGTGTATTTATAAACTGTAACCTCACTTTGCGCCTCACAAATATATACAGCCAGGAACTGTCAATGTACAATGAAAATTTTAGAAACAAAATAGTAATGAATGGCAGGTGTTTCCTGAAAAGAGCTATGGGGAAAGAAGAGAAACCGGACCACACTCATGCCGTGTTCAAAGCATGAAGCCGGCTGGTTTCACCCTGTGTGAAGAGCCTGGGCGCCTTACCCAGACCGTGGCGCTACCCACTTCACAGGGGCTGTCTGGCAAGCCAGAGACACAGAGCTCGGAAGGTATGAGGTTTCTGACCGTCTTCACAGCACACAATTTTACTGTAAACATTTTTCAGTGAGTGAAGAGTACACGCTGTTATTAATAAAAGTACAGTACAATAAAGACATAAACCAGTGACGTAGTAGTTTGCTAGCACTCTCAAGCTGCATGTCCTGTACATAGCCGAACATGCTGGACTCACATGACTGGCAGTCCAGTAGGGTTGTCTATGCCGGCGCCACTGCACACATGTTATAATGCGTTGTGTTAGGGTTTTAGGATAGCTGGGATGTCACCGGACAATAAGACTTTTTTAGCTCTGTGATTATTTTACGGGGCCACCACCTTTCCTGAAACGTCATTGGGTGGCATATGTCTGTATTAATTGTCATGGACATTTATTTTTGTATATGAATTTTGGAATAAAGAATCTAAAAACTAAAAATGTTCAATGGTCAGTGGGGTGACTATCAGAAGAGTTACAGCACGGTCTCCCCAGCAAGCATAAAGCTCCACATGTAAAAAGGGTAGATGTCCACTGCCGACAGGTGACCCACGGTCTAATTCCTGGTTGTGCTGGAGTCGCTCTTTAAATTTTCTCTCTGCTGACCCAAAACCCAAAGCAAGCCAGCCCAAACTAGTTCTACAAGGAAGGCCACCATAAACTTTAAAGCAGGAACTTAGTACTTTGTGCTTTACTAATTCACTATCCAATCCGCAAATTCACCCAGAGTCAAATCCTATTGGGTAAAATATCATTCTCTGAATAGCATTTCACCTTTAACGGAGTAATCAGCTTTTAAGTACTCTGCTGTCCATTAAGAACTCTCAACAGAAATAAAAGGTCTCCATAGACCAGGACATTTTAAAAATCCATAAACAATATAGCAATCTATAAAAAGCTGTAGTAATCCTCATTATTACCTTTACGGTGCTTTTTTAAGATTCAAAATAAGCTGGGCTTGGTGGCGCACACCTGTAATCCCACCACTTAGGAGGCTGAGGCAGGAGAATCCCTGTAAGTTCGAGGCCAGCCTGGGCTACAAAATGAGCTCAAGGCCAGCCTGAACTGCACAGTGAGACCCTGTCTCTAAAAGAGCAAATAAAATAAAATAAAATAAAATAAAATTCAAAATAAATAATTACTGAATTTGCTAAATTATATGAGATACTCTGTAATATGTTTACTTTTTTTGTTATTTCGGAGCTTTGGGGGGAAATGTTTCAGAAAAGCAACACACCCATGTTTTATTTTTTGTCATAGTTCCAAATACTAAGTAAACACACACCTTAAGCAAGTGGACCATAGCTCTGAATCAACCGCAGCGCACAGACAGCGCCGACCTCTCCGGCCGTGTGAGACACAGCAGCAGCTGTTCCCCTCAGAATCCTGTCTGGGCATCGCATCGCAGAGCCTGGGCTTAGCCCAGGCTCCTGGAAACAAGCGCCGGCCATCCCGAGTCTCCCGGGCGTGGAAGACTTCCCGCAGTTCTAAAGCACGCCCGGTCCTGCGAAAGGAGATCCCAGGGACTCCAGGGACTCCAGCGCCTTCTCAGGGCGCCTCCGTGGAGAACCCTTCCCGCCCATCCGCCTGCACACCCGCTCCTCCTCAGGGCCCGCTCCCGTCTCCCGGGAAACGCCTCCCTCCTCCGTCTCCCGGGAAACGCCGTCCTCCTCCCGTCTCCTGGAAACGCCGCCCTCCTCCGTCTCCCGGGAAACGCCCCCTCCTCCCGTCTCCCGGGAAACGCCGCCCTCCTCCCGTCTCCCGGGAAACGCCGCCCTCCTCCGTCTCCCGGGAAACGCGCTCGTGCGCTCGGCCCTCTCCGCAGCCCCGCGGTGGGACATCGGGGAAGCGCAGCGAGGGCACCTTCCACGTGCCGCCTGTGTGTAGACCGACCCGGAGGACGTCGTGTTCCTGGCGGGACGGCTGCCCGGGCGGAGCGCCCCCTGCAGCCCCGGCGGAGCGCCCTCGGGCTGCGGCGCGCGGCGGGCGCTCGGGGCGGCTCCGAACGTGCGAAACTGGCGTCGGCGAAAAGATCCAAGGCCCAGCGACACCCTTCCCCGGAGCAGGGTCTGCGGGCTCTCCCAGTCGCAGGCAGACCTTGTCCCGCCCGGCTGGCGCGGTGTTCTACCCGGGACCCACACTGCAGAGCCGGGGAAGCACACCGCAGGGTGCACGGGGGAAGGACGCCCCGGGGACGCCGTCGCGCTCCGCCGCCAGGGGGCGCAGCCGCCCGGCAGCCGCCGAGCAGGGAGGACCCGGTGTACTGCTCCAAGTTTGCCCGTTTTCGTCTGGAACATTACTTGGTGCTGATTACGACTATGGTTCCATGTCTGAAGTCAAATCAGTGATCAAACGGACGCGGATGCGGGGCCCAGTGTCCACTTACACTGCCAGTGCCAAGCTGCATTTAGAGGAAAGCTAATCGGACGGCTGACGCAGGCAAACCAAGGGCTCCCCGGGAGCAGCAAGGTCAGAAAAGGGGTGTGTCTCCCCTCTGCAGCCGCAGGGCCCTTGGGTTCGGTGGGAAAGGCGTTCTTGCCTCGGGGGTGACCCCGCTTGTCCGCCCCTGTCTCGTTATCTCCCCCAGGGCCAAGTGCCCCCTCCGCCTCTTGCATCTTTCGAGGGTAAAAGCCTCCCTTCTGGGGTAGCAACATTATGGGTAGGTGGTAAAGGAAATGTAAAACTGCACCGTGTAAAGGTGGGTAAGAGACGACCTCGCTTGTGTTACCTCGGGAAGGCGACCTCTGGGCTAAGCAGGAGTACAGCAACCATCCCTGACGTCTCTGCCTGCTGCAGGCCAGGGAGCTGAGTCAGGGCGCTCTCCCCGCTGTTCTACCAACTGCACCCATTCGTAGCTTCGTCATTGCTGTTTTAACGGACGATGAGAATTTAAGAAAAACCATGCCACTCGGGTCCCAAGGACAAACTAAACAAAGGCATGAGAATGTAAACTTGTTGGATTTTTTTTTGCGTTTTTCCTGAGGAGCTCACATTCGCAAAATGCCTCAGCCCTAAACCCTGTGGGTAACGTGGGTTATGAGCTCTCCAGTGGACCACGAGAACAAGACGTCCTAACTCAACGAATTCCAGCTCGGACTCCCCAGCCTCGAAGTCTCAAAGGCACAAAGCTCACTTCCACCCTGCATGCGAGAGAGCTGCAGTGGCGAGCACCATCCCCCGCTGCAGTATCTGCCAGGGACAACAGCGAGAGGCTGGCAGAGGCTTTGCCCACACCAGTCCCAGAAAAGACTTCACAAGAAGCACCCCAACTAACGCTGCACAGATCTCGGCTTTTCCCCCAGCAATGATATTTTAATTCTATGGATGTTTGGGGGGGTCACGGCCACCTTTCCCTGTGTAATCGCCCACTACATACTGTGACAGTAACCACACTGGGTCATAAAATAATTTAGGTGTGAAACAAAACAAGCCCCTCCTTTTCAGGTTTTGGCTGTAGCTATGCCTTCAAAAGAGGGTACAACTATTTTAAAAATTAATCCAAAGGGTCTCATCATTATACTACAGAAAAAAAAAAAGAGAGGAGGGGGGGAGAGAAAGTACCCTAGAATAGTGCTTGGAACAAATTAGTGTTCAAGGAACATTTGCTGAAGGAAGGAAGGAAAGACTCGGGAATTAGGGAGTGACTTGAAAATGAATATTTACTTGAAGACCGCTCCATGTTTTTCCGGTATGTAACACGTACTATTCTTTAACAAGCCCTAGTGGCATTATGAGCTACACACGGTTCCTCCCTGCTGTTTCGTGGTGGGGAACTCTCGGACTGTAAGCTAAGGGCAGGAAAACTCTCTCCCCTCACCAGCTGGCACAGAGATGGCCATCTTTAGGTAAGTTTCTAGGTCCTAACTCACAGCGCTTGTTGTGCATACTTACACAGCGCCTCAATTTCTGCCTGAGGCTGTGAAAGTCTTCTACAAAATGTATTTCCTTGCAAGCGGGTAACTGGAGCTGATCAAGAACATCTTCCATAAAGAAAGAAAGAAGCTGTTCCTGGAATCTGCAGCTTTTCTACAAATAAGATACAAGAAATTGCAAATGTATGAATAGTTGGGTTTTGCTCATGTCACTGAGACACGCCCTTGATTATTACTCACTGTCTGGAAAAATTAAAATGCAGGGAAAAAAACATCAAAGAAGTAGGAAGGTAAAAATGAAAAAAAAATTGTGACTTACCATAAATAGCTTCTTTGTTTTCTTTTTTAATAATCGTATGTTTTTTATGCGGTCTTCCTGCAACAAAACAAAGAGAAGTAAGTGATGTGCAGGCTTGCTGCGTCCGCTCAGGCAGCCTTCGAAGCAGAACCCGTACTCACTGGAACGGTGGCCTTCAGCCTGGCCGCTGTGACGTAGAGGTTGTCCACAGCTTGGGACAGGGACTCCCTTGAGTGACAACTCTTGGTGAAGGAAGACTGAGATGGCTTGAGCTTGGTGGTGACAAGGAGCAGAGTGACACACAGCAACCCAGACCTCAAAAAGCAATGCACCCACATCGCCCTCTGCTCTGCCCCAAGCTCCAGTGGGTCTCGTACAGCAGCCAGGTAGCTGTGGGTTAGATGAGAGGATAACCTACTTTTCAGCCTCAAAGCCGCCTCTCTAATGAAACGCTATGAAAGATAGCTCAGAGTTTATATAGAGAGCCATCGCTTTGGTTTGCTACTTTTGTAAGCTTGCTTCATAATCAAAAAACATTGACCACACCAGCTGTCGTGTTATGTAAAAGCTCAATTTACTGGCAAGATTGGGCCCCTGTTTCCAAAAGTAACCGAGAACTTCAGATGCATATCTGAGGGTGATTGCATTATTTTAGAAGTCGCGCCATGCCAGTAAGAAAGCTTGAGACCCAGGAGGCTGTGCTATAATTGGCTTTAATCCACATATGAAAATCTCCTTTTCCAACCAGAATCCTTTAAAGGGGTGTAGCAGACAGCTCGAATGGTTTTAAGTTTATTTTTTTCCAAATCTTTCGCCTGGCTCATCCTTCTGCCTTAGAACCATCAACCTACACCCAGCTGCAAGACTTTTTCTAGCTCGGGAATTGTAACTCCCCTAATGTTCTCATGATTTCTTTTGAGCTAGATCTGGGATGTGTGCAACGTGGTAAGTGCTGTATCATTGGTTTCTTAGTTTATGGTTCAGACTTCCCCTCCAACCAGATATCCAGTACAGTGACAAGTCCTTGGGAAAGGACTATATCCTGTTCATCACTGGTAGACTCAGCCTCCTACCATGGTGCCTCATGTGATGTACATCCAATAAACACTTCCCTTTCTTCGTCATGAGATGCTATAATAACTGCTGGGCTTTTCGAGTTGATTTCACTCACAAATTTTTCTTAAGGATCTTCTACACAAAAAGCAGTTCTAGGTGCCACAGGGCTAGCAGGTGGATCCTCACGGACTCCCACCCTCTCTTCTGTCGCAGCTCTTCCTGTGAGTAAGGCAGCTCCCACCTAAGAGGCAGATGCAGCCCAGGTGAGATACTGAGCAGCAGCTCGGGCTCACCAGGTCCAGTAGGAATAGATTTACTGTAGCAGCAGGGGCAGGTCAACACTAGGAACCTGGTTGTAAAGAAATTAATCAAAAGTGGGAAAGTTGATAATAAGCATCAGAACCCAAGAATAAATTTTAAATCATGGCAAGCTAGCTAGTAGAGGAGCAAAGAAGAACAAAATATAAGATAAGAAGTTTAACACCTTGGGAGTATTTTCCGCTGTTCTAAAAGGAGTGAGCCCCTTTGAAGAGCCCAAGCACCATTCCCAGGAGCATTCAGCTGGTAAATGATAGGTTCTAATAGATGGCGCAAGAACATTTCACAAAGAGCAGCAGCGGGAGACAGAGGGTGGGGAACACCAAGTGAAGCTCCATGAAATTTTATAAAACTCAGGGCAGGGAAGAATTATTTTTGGCTGGGAGGTACCGGAACACAAAGTGCTTGAAGGTTTTTATAAGAAGAGGAGTTCCTGGTGTGCAAAATTCCCTTAAGAAAGTAAGAGTACGAACTCCAGACGTCAAAACTCACATGCCTTCAGAGCACATGGGGTTAGCATGAACACCCTGTTGGCTAGACTTAGGGCTCTTGTGGTTAAACTGCCTATCACCAAGCTGAACTGCAGTGTATTAACACACTGTGTGGGTGCAATAAAAGGACCATACAAAGCCCTTCCAGGAGTCATTCACTGCCTTGAACAGCCAATTTAATATCCCTGCTGTGTCCCAACAAAATTTCTGTGCAATTCAAATTGCTGGTATTAATAAATAAAGTTATATATTCTGGAATCTCTGGTTATTTCATTCCCACGTCTTACAACCTTCAAATCATTATCCAAGGAAGATCATGTATAACCCAAGAATGCCAGTGCTGTGGTTGGCAGCCACCCCAAAAAAACAAAAACTGTCACTGTGCATATATAACTGAAAACTCTATCACCCTGTTGATCTACCCCAGTCAGTAGATCTGCCTCTTGGGGCTCTTTTAACGATTAACCTGGCGTTACAGGATGAATAGGGGCAACTATCAAGGATATTCGTTACACAGGTCCTGAAGGAAATTCCAAAGGGGAGTTCAAAAGTGCCCTAAGTAACAAAAGAACCGTTGTATCAGGTGTATGATATCACTGGGGCAAGAACCTAAAAGGTGGTTCTCTGTTCATTGGGGTGTATGTTTTATCACTTTCACAAGTGTGCCATACAGAAACGTATAAAAATTGCTGTTAATTACAAGGAGGTTTGGTTTTGAAATGCCAGCTGACCATTACTAGAGGTGTCCTTGGTAAAGTTACTAACTTTCTTTAAAGTTCAGTTTCAGTCACCATTAGGGTTATTGTGAGCAAATGTTACCATAAAAAAATAGAATGTGTATCCGACCACAGCCGCAGAAGCACTCCGGAAGGAGTGGATATTGCATTGTTTTATATCAGACAATAAATAACAAATGCACACGTACTGCTCTGAAGAACGTTAAAGCTCAGCGTGAGGCTTGGAAGATTTGAGGAACATTTGAGGAAAATAAGGAAAGCGGAGGATGCCCAGCAACTAGAGTTCAGAACGGGTGAGCAGGAGGGTTCAGTTGCTCTCACGCACCTCTAGAGGGCAGACAAGCACCAGCAGGCAGAAGAGAGGCCACTCCTCCGCCTGAACAGCAGAACGTTCAGACAACCAACCTGCCCCAAACCATAACGACTGCTCCAGCTCCCCAGTGCCACCAGGGCAGTCGTTTCCCTTACGATTTAAGTCGTCTCCCAGCCGAAGAAACTTGCTGCGCTCTCTCTGATGGCCCAGCACGTCAGGGGAGCAAAGTGAGCTCAGCAATTCATGCAAAGAAGCACACTTCATTTGGAGTTCTTGACTGCTTTCCTTCTATACAAGAAGAAACAACAAATGTGAATCCTGTATTACTAATCTGTTTGTTGACCGTGAAACACATTATTTTGCATTTGAATGGCTCTGAAATCACAATGTGTTTTATAATCCAGAGTCTTAAATTATGCAATGTGATCAAAATATACAGTTGATGCTTAAATTTTAAAAATGTATTACAAGCCAGGCGTGGTGACGCACGCCTATAATCCCAGCACTCGGGGAGCTGAGGCAGGAGGATCGTTGTGAGTTTGAGACCAGCCTAAGCTACAGAGTGAACTCAAGGCCAGCCTGAACTGCGTAGTGAGACCCTGTCTCAAAAAGACAAAAACAAATGTATTACAGTAAAAGACACATTGCCCTTAATCTCCCTCAAAATTCTCTTCCTTGCTTCAAACACTCTTCCCCATTGTTCTTGCCACTTTCTGAAACAGTTCTGGATGTCCTCTTTGGTGAGAGTCTTTAGTTTGCCTTGTTCTTGCTTCTATGGCCTGAATGGATTCAGAATATTTACCTTCCCTGGTCATTCAGACTTGCAGAAGAGCCAGAATCTTCACACTGTCACACGGGGATGCGACACAACATCAGTGCTGCCTTTTTTACAAACCTGCCTTCCCACCGGGTGGCGTGAGGCAGCAGCATTCACGGTGCTTTTATCACTCCTCATAAACACACTCACAAAAGAGGACTTCTAAGAACACTTCAGAAAGCGGCGAGAACTACGGGGTAAGTGTGTTCAAAGTGAGGGCGAATATTTCAAAAGGAATTAATGGCAATTTGTCTTTTGCTGTTATAGATTTTTTAAATTTAAACCCACACAATTTCCTGATCAGCCCTTCTACATTGCCCCATCTGAATCCACATGCAGCTTTCTTCTCCTGAGCAGTCTTATACCTGCTCGTAAGCACTCACTCTGTCACCACTTCCACTGAACTGTGTGTGGTTGTTATACTGGGGTTTAATTTCATGCTGTTTAATATATCTTCAGAAAGCTTATGCCATGATTCAGGTTGAAACCAAAGTTCATATGCTCACAGAAGGCCCAGCTCAGTGGTGATGGGCAAACTTGAAGGTGCAGAAGCAAATATTTCTTTTGCATGAAGGACTAAAATCATATACTTATTTGCAAAGCAACAACGAACTTCTAAATGTTAGGAAAATGTCATGTCATAGTTTATAATCAGCAGCATTTTTCCCTTAGCAGTAAAAAAACAAAAAGCCCAACTTCTAATATACAACATCTTCAACTTCTAATACACAACCTATGACCCAGTGTGCTAAAACACAATATTTAATAACCTCTATGATTGGCATAATTACCTAGAGCCATTAAATCAATGCACTGCTGCACATAAGAAGTAAGTGGAACTATTGTAGGGGCTGAGGATTTAGCTCAGTGGTTAATTCCACCCAGGAAACCTGTTTATCTCATGTCTGTACAATCAAATAGACAGATGCGAAGAGGGTGAAGACACAGTGCATCGGCACACACGGACCAGCCAGGAAGGACAGGACGTGACGTCTAGGTGAAGGGAGAGGAGTGACGAGGCAGAGCTCATGTGAATTCCCTGAGTGCCTCGACCCAGGGACCTGTGCAAGGTGCTTCTGCCCTACAGGTTTTCGTTCTGCATCATTAATGCATTCATGTACCAAGTACCAAGTGCATATCACCCCCAGGCTGTACTGAGGCTTGGGGAGCATCAATAAAAGATAAAAGTCTTGACTTCCTAAAATAGTCCAGTGATGGGGGGGCAGGGAGAGGAAGACACAGAGATAAACACAGTATTTACACATTATAGTAAGTTCTATACTTGTTGTATTCTGGATCTGGTCCATATATCCCCAAGGGGCCTTTGTGCTTAAAGGCTTGGTGCCAGGGTGGCTCTCTGGGGAGATGGTGGGCCCCTGGGAGGTGGAGCATCCTGGGAGGGCCTTAGGCAATTGGTGCCTGCAGTGTTTCTCAAGGAACCCCTTTGACAGCTTTCATGTGACCCCTTGAGTTCTCACGAGGGAATTGTAATAAAGGGAGCAAGGCTGGTCCTGCCCGGTCTTTTACTTTCTGCTCTCATTCAAGACGTGACCGTGTCTTGCTCTACATGTGCTTCTGCCCCAAAGTGCCACCATCCTCCAACCCAATGGGGCCACTCAATCTGGACTTTGAACCTCTGAGACTACAAGCTAAGGAAACCTCCTTTTCTTCATGAGCATAATACTGTGTCCAGTATTTTATTATAGTGATGAAAAGCTAACTCATATAGCATAGCATAAGATATT